CCGCATCCTTGCTTGCAGTGTAGTCAGCAAAACTAAGAAGCTGATTGTCCCTCTGTACTTGGCACTAATGAGGCTGCACCTCATATACTTTGTTCAGTTTTGGATCTCTCACTATAGGAAAGAAATTGAGGCTCTGGAGTGTTTCTAATAAGGACAACCAAGCTGGTGAACAGTCTGGAACATAAGAAGAGCAGATGAGGGAACCTCTTTCAGGAGGCTGTAGAGAATGATAAGCTCTCCTCTGAGCCACCCAAAAGGAGTTTGTAGAGGAGCAGGATTTGACCTCCCAGGTAACTAGTGATAGGACAAGATGTAATGGCTTTAATTGCACTAAGGGAGGTGCAAGTGGATATTAAGAAAAAAATTTTCTGAAAAGGACACTGAAATATTGTCACAGGCTGCCCAGGGAAGTGGCAGAGTCACCATCCCTGAAGATTTTCAAGAAAAGCATATATGTGGCACTGAGGGACATGGTTTAGTTGGCATGGTGATGATAGGTTGATGGTTGGACAAGGTGATCTTAGTGTTCTTTTCCAACCTTAATAATTCTATGATTCCATGATTTAAAATCTGCTCTTTTTCATATATTGTAAGGCTTTATTCATGAATAATACATTGCATTTTCCAGTGCATTTTGTGTAATTTGCCTTGTTCATATATTTCATGTATGTGTAGGAGTGACATTATTTAAGTAAGTTCATGTGAAATGTAAATAAGTGAGATACAGCCAAAAATGTATTTTCTCTGCCATTTCTATGTTGTAGAACACAGTGTCACTTCATATTATGTTCCATTATGGTAATCTTATTTTGAAGTTGACAGTCATGATTTAATACATTTGAAAAAGCTTAGAAATGAGAAGTATACTTCAGTTACTTCTTGGAAGCCCCCCTCTCAGCATTTTGACTGTCAGTGTTTTGATGACAAGAGAATACACACAACTTGTATAATAATACATAGCAGTCAGCAAACCTGACATCAGTTAGTCAGACGAAACAATAATGACTATATTTTAGTTCACTGTGAGTTCTGTTATTCATATGATATCACCAAATTGCAAGCATAGCTTTCCATAGAAAATCTGAATCTTTGTAATGCATTATTTATGTTTTCTCTCTAACCAATGGTCACGTTATAATTCACCTGTGATAAGGGTAAAAATATTCAGAACAAGCCATTAAAAAAGCATTTACCCTAAGCCATATTCAGAGTACTGAGTGAAAAATAACTTCTGAATTACCTTCTTTCATGTGCCTATAACTCATACCAAAGAATTTGCAAACTAGAACTGCAGCAGTATATGTATTTTTCATCTACAGTAATGGAAAATTATTATTTTATGGGTCACTTATCAGTAATTCTTTCTGCACACCCAGTATTATAGAATTGTTTCTGTAAGGAGGTTAAGAGTACTGCTAAAATTTCAACCAAGAACTGACTTACACAGGAACTAAACCTAGTAAATGTTAAGTTAGCAAGAGAAAAAAAAGAAAAAAGCAGAAGAGTATATAACTGCTTCCTTCTTTGGATTTATCCTCAAGTGTTGCAGCTCTTTCTACCATAGGCATCAAGGATGCCATAGGCATCTCAAACCTCTACTCCCTCTTTTTGATGATGCTCAAGTACTATGGAAGAGAAACTTTGAACTATTCCTGGTGGAGTACTGTCTGTGTGCCATTAAAACAAAGCAGGGAGGTAAGATGATCTTTACTTTGAGCCAGCAAAAAATTATAGGTTATCTATAGGTAATCTATAGGTTATTATAGCTTATCTATGCCTATCCTGGTGTTGGTAGTTGCACAAGGTCTAAATCTAGTCTTGATTTCTACTAAACAAAGCTAATAAAAGTCCATTTGTCTAGAAAAAGAGTTAGTAAGTAGCTATACTTCAACATTTGAAGCACTCCTATAAATGAAAGAAAACATCTACATCCTTAAGGGGATCACTTTAACACAGTCCACTTCTTTGAATACTGATTCAGTTCTGGGGAAGACAATATCTGTGTTCAAAATCAATTTTGTTTCAAATGTATTGGAAAGACTTCCCACTTAAGAAAGCTCCTAACTTTTCTGGTCTTTCACCATAGTGTCTAAGCACATTCCCACATGGAAACTTTAACTGGGTTCCTTAGTGCTACAAATGAATGCATAATATAATGCTCTTTCTTGGCCTACTTACTAGGAGAAAAAATATTAGTTGTGGTTCACATTGCTGGTGTTAGATAAATATGAGGAAACAATTGAATACCTATATACTCTCTGTTTCTTTTGGAAATGTTCTTTCTGTTAAAACGCACCTTCTACCCTGTCTGTCCATGGTAACAGCAACACTATCCAAATAATACAGCTGCTAAACAAGTGCATGCATTTTATGCACCACTACCTCTAAAAGGTAAAATATTCGGTGCCACAAGATACTGCAAAGCTATCTTAGTTATCTTAGTATAGTACTGCTAGCATTTTGAGACTGTATGTAACAAATCACAAACTCTGTCTGGTATATAATAAACCTTATTATACCCTTGCTCTAAAATTCACTTATTACCAAGAAAATGAACTGTGTGGTCATATTCTTCTGAAATACTTCAGACAAACCAAAGACTTAGGTTGGCTGCCTTTTATAGCAATCCATTTCATCATGCACAGTATATGGATGCAGTATCTACAGGACTACCTACAATTGGTTTGCTTAGATTTTTATGTATGTTTGTTGTTCATAAATTCTAGACAACAAATGGATGCTGGAGGTCTATCCCTATTTTTACATTTAGTATAGCTAACTTATATTAGTATATTATATTAATATATTAGTATAGATTTCTAATTCTCCAAGTATTTAAAGATACGTCACAAATTTTGAAAAATTTAAAACATTAAGCATTACGAACAATGAATAAAACCTTTGAATATGACAGAAACAGCTGCATGCTCTTCAGTTTAGCAAACTGTCCTGTGTGCAGCTGTAAGAGTAGTACTGTAGTTGTATTACAGATGAAGACTGCTACATGTAGATGGCAAAGAAAGAGAAGATGGTCTCAGTACATAAACTCATCCAGTTGTAATGATTTACAGAAGAACATAATCGATGCTCTACAAAAGTTTAAAAAAACGGGGAATCAGGAACATTTACCCATTCCAAAGCAGCTCCATTATATGGAGCCACTTACTCAGAGACTGTGGCAAATTCAACAGAGACTCTGTTGAATTCTTTATGATTACATTCCCTTTGGAAAGTAACATGTTATTTTCATGGTAGCTGAACTGCTACTGAAAGGCATATTTATAACTGGAAATGAAGGTAGGAGGAGGAACTTAATGCTAGTGAAACAGGAGAAAAATCATGATTTTCAGGTTCACCAAAAAGCTTTGAGTTTTCTCTGGCTTTCATGATAATGTAAATGACTTTCCAGTGCAATGAACGGTTATTTTGTTGGATTAAGCATAAGTTTTTAACACAATGCAAATAATAAACCAGAGTCAAATTAAACAATTTTTTAGGTCTGGGAAATTTTCTTTCAGGCTATTTCATGTGAAAGGATCGAAAAATGTTTTAAGTAGTTGGAGAATATACTCCATTTCAACTGATGTGAAGGGTTAAAGCAGTAACAGTAAGTACTTTATGAACTTTCCATGGTAGAAACTGTGAAAGAGCCTATAGTTAATTTTCCTCTAATTAATACAGCTAACACAAGCCATTACTGTAGACAATAATTTGTAGTAGAAATGAAAACAAAATCATGTAATTTGACATTTGATGTCAGCGAACTTAGCATAGTTGTATTTCCACGTGACATTTAAGTCAGTCAGTATCAGCTTCACTGATAATAACCTCTTGATACACATATTTTTAGAATAAGCAAATGTTTCTTCACAGACTGTGCTGGAATTATTTTTTGCAGAACTCTTCTTTTACATTCAGCATAAAATCAAGTAATGAATTATGTTTCTGAGTCTGTTTTTAGACTCAGAACAGTTTTCCTTCAGCCAGAAGAAAATAATTTAATGGATGAATCCCATTTATTGATCTACACTACTTACCTTTTTCCTACACAGTCTCAATGAAAAGTATTAAAGATATCCAGATTTTAAAGAGTGCCCTTGCTCAGAAAATCGTGCACATTTGATCTATCAAAATATCCTTTAATAATTTATCCTAGTATTTGTTTCATAACCCTGTTAATCTGCACAAGTACACGAATGTTTTCTGCTTTACTTCTTTATGGCTGCATAAATTCCGTTGATTTTCTGGTATGCTATAAAGTGAGTTATAGTTTTATTCTCTTTAGGAGACCACAGCTGCTTTACTCAGAGTGATTAAAAGCAGCATCAAGTAACAAATGAAAGAATATAACAAATAATATCATATGGCTTTAAAAGAACACTTCTCAGATATAACTAAGTGAATTCTCTTTAAGTGTGACATACGTACAGCAAATGGACGGGAATGGATTTATTACCACCTCTTTCAGATGAGTCACTCAAGACTTTAAAATCACAGAGAAATAAAGTCATGCATGCTAAATGCATGCTAATAAAACTTCATATATTCTGTACCATGTTCTTTCTTTCTTCAGATCCATCCAGTCAAGAAAGAAAAATATTTTTAATAAGAACACACAACATATTCAACGAAATTCCCAAGCTAAACAGTACTTTAGCTGGAAATACTACTGTCTCTTTTTGAAAATCACATTGTGTTCATTAAATTCCTCAGGCCAAGTCTTCTGTACGTAATCACTTATAAGTCACACAGCACTTCCACTACCTTCAGTTTTGCTTCAGTAACTTCTGTAATAATATCATTTCTATTACTTGCATTGTCATTAATACAGATTTTGCTTTGTCTTTTTACATGATCAGTCTCTAAGTGTGAGACGTTATAACTCAGTAATGCTGACAGACATATACTCACGCTCCCTGATCATGTGCATTATATGTACCATGTAAGAAGTACAGTCATTTGAGTAAATATAACCCATGGAATCACATTCAGTTGCCTACCTGTATGTGGTTCAATAGAAAAGTAAGGCTGTCCTTCCAGAATGCTATAAACCAGCTTGGCACTGTTTCCATAAACTGGATCATCAGCATCTGTAGCTGTTACTTTAGTAACAAAGGTGCCTAAATAGAAAGAATGGATATGATTAACTTTTACAGTCTTCCTAGACATGTGCATAATTTATTCTAAAATAATTCATTTATTTGAAGCTCTAAAGAAATGTGTAAGGTATACAAAGATTAAAAATAAAGAAAATCCACAATAATAACCTAAAACAATATTCACTGAACTCAAACGTAACCTTTTCCTTCCAGATGATATATGCCACTAGACTGAATTTCTGAACGAAGGAAAAAACTTTCTAGAACCTGTATCATTTAAGGTTTCTTTGTAGAATGAATTTAAAGCTACCTGGTAGATCTGTATAGACTTCAAGAATCCTATCAAAGGAATATGAAATACAAGGTTAATAATACAATATAATATGCTACATTTAAGATTTGCAAAATTACATTTGAAAGAACCTTGCAAAGTTACAGCGACTGCACAGAAAAGCAATAATGAAAGGGATTCTTTTTTCTTCTCTTGGCTTACAGCCATATAAATGGTTTGATGTGGCCACAGTAATGGTGTAAGGACAACATTTATTGTTTCTGAAATGAGTTGCTGCCACTGAGGGGTCCATTGCGTAGCCAGAGTCATAAATTCCGTACTCTATCCAAAAACAAGGAAGAAAAATTTAAAGAAATTACCCTATTTACTTTTAGGCAACATAGCATATTCAATTTATATAATTAGCAAAACTGAATAAAACTCAGCAGGTTCTGTTAAGCTTGGTGCAGAAAGCTTTTCTTTTTTTAATTTTTATGATGACTTAAAAAGACAATGATGACATTAATTAGACTAGCAATAAAGACAGTCTCTACAGTGGACAATAGTAGGAAAGAGCTTAAAGGCAGAATCACATTTCTCATGTTTAAAAATACTTAGAGCTCCCAACAAAATAATTTCCCTTTCTAGATGTGCCTGTAAAACGCCTCTTCTTCTTTCTTAAACTTTGTGCTGCTGAATCCAAGTTATACCTCCCTTTTGGGCAGGAACAGTAAACTAGAAGTGGAAGAGATCCCTTTGGCATGTTACTGCATTGTGTTCTTCTCGCTCCGTATGTCACATTGCTGCCATGGTTTTGGACAGTTCTGAGTATTAGAGTGCACGCAAATTATTTAGAGAATATTTGCATATTTTGAGATAATTTGCATCCCAACCAATAGCTTCCATTTCAGGATTTCATATTTGTCCATTTCAAGCAGTAGGGCAAAATATACGGCTGACAGGATTTGGCCACAATGCTCATGGACTGGTAGTTCTGCAAAGCCTGAAGTTGTGAAAGGTTTGCTGCATGAGATAATTTCCAGGGGAGAGAATATGGGTAGAAGAGTGGAAGAAACACAGCTCATTAGAGAGGGGGAAAAAAAAACAAAACCCAAGCACTGTACTGGTCACTAATTTTGGCCACAAATTTATTCAGTCTTTCAAGAAGGAAAGATCATCAGCCAGCTGTCATGCAAGCTCTACCATGGCCCCATCAGGCAAGAAAGTGCCCCAGCAATTTCTCTCCTGCTGCTCACTAGTGTCCTGAAGAATCAAGGTGGCCTGCAGCAGTTGTACACAATGTGGAAGAGGAACACAATGCTGGTGAATATCAAATTGCTTCTGGCTTAGACAGATGTTTGCAGATTCTGTACACAAAAACTTCTACAGGTTATCGCTTTTGAGGCTTAGCAATTTCTGATGTTGAAAGTTGGGCAGCTTACCCTTTAACCTCCCACTGGGCACAATGAAAGGACTTTATCCTCAAGTTGATAGTTTGATTGTATGGAATTAACACTGGAAGTTTGTTCTCTGACCAATTACAAATTACAAACAGAGAATACCTGCAACAAATACAGTACCTACAGACTACAGATGATGAATGACATACAGGAGAAGAAAAACAGTGACAGCGAAACAACCATGAGGCACACTCAGAGGCCATCATGCAGGCTACAGTAAATGAATGAAATGGGTGACAATGGAGAAGAAGTATGTATTAAGCCTGAATTTGGATATTGCAGTACCAGAGGAATAAAAGGATCCTCTGTGACTTGACCACGGTAGTCTCAAAGCATGAAAAGTTACTAGAATTGTCTCATACATTTAAATTGTGTTGGCTCACCTTATACAACTCATATTCCAACTGAAAATTTGTTACTTTGTAGTTCCTACAGAAAGCAATCTCCTATCAGTTTGTGCTTTCACTTATGCAGAATTCAGTCTACAGCCCTAATAACCCAGCAGGACATGTCCCACAGTTCAGAGCTGCTGTCTTGCATGTAATGCTAATTATGATTACAGAAGTCAGTGCTTCAATGCTGAATGAAAACAGGTGATGTTTCTGTGGGAGTGGCAGCTATTATGAAATTTTTGTTTTTTAACCTAATAAAACAGAAGATGTTCATGAAGAACATCATACAATAGGACACGGCTGGAATATGATAAGGTTCATTCACAGAACAATGAACTTTTTTGCTAGTGTATTTTCTCTAGTGGCTGCACCATTTTGTTTCCATGATATTCAATTCTATACACAAAGGAAAATAAAGAATCGAAATAGTTGACTTCTTTGAGACTGTGTTTGATTTTCTTAGCTGGCTTTCATTTCAAAGGACTTTAGAAATAATTACATTGCTTGTTTAGAAAGATTTGATATATAATGTCTTTTCTTTTCTTATTTCACTAGAGAATTCCGTAAGACTTTTAGAGATATTTGTTTCAAGATTTCAAAACTTAAATGGGTATGCTGATTCTTTGATAAATGCATCCTTTATCCCAAGTGTTCGTTAGACATTAAAGTTGAATGTCTTAATAAAACAAGCAATCAGCGTCTAGCAGCTTTTCCAATTCTGATATTCCAATATTAAGATTTTTTTCTTGTGATAGAAAATAATGTAATCCCTTACCGAAGCACCAAGCTAATCCAGAATTTATACATATATAAAAACATACATAAAACTGAGTATTCCCATTCACTGTTCGTTATATAGATAAGAGGAGGCAAAAAATAGCATACCCTTCTTTTCCTTTTCCAGGTCACTTGAAGTGTAGCTATAATCTTGCCTAATAAAACTAATGAAGGGAAGAGAAAAATAAAGTATTCTCCCAGCTCCTAAAACCAAATTTTTTGACTGCCAGTCTCTGCCACTCTGCACTTCATTTCCTACTATCATACACTGTTCTGAAGTGTCTGAAATTCAGTTGTTTGCTCCCCACAATCATGTAGATAAGAATTGTTTATAAAAGCAATCATGAAACAAAAATTAATTACCTCTACTACTGAAATTAGATAGTTAAAATTTAAGCTATGTTAAATCTTATCACCTTCCATGAGAACTTTTGGTTTATGCTATTATTCATGTCTTGTGCAGATGTGAAACATGCCACATAAGTATTCACATTCACACTGGCAATAGTAAGTACATAAAGGAGCAAACTAGGTTCCATTTGCAGATGCAGAGTATGTTGCTACATAGTGCTGCCCTGGTCCCACTGCAAGATGCTCAGGGTCCAGAAGAAATAGCACCTTATGCCACTGAGTGACAGAGCCTTTTTCAGCCAAGCATGAACTGAGGATTTGGAGAACTGATAACATTCTGAGGGTGCAAAATAACACAAAAGAAAAAAAAAAAAAAAAGAAAGAAAAAAAAGGAACTCAGCCACCATAGATATTAAGCCATCTCTAATGCAGCAGAACTCCCTATGCCTTGGACTAGATTTTTGGATTATCAATATTTAAAAAGCATTTTACAGCCCTACAGACACTGTAGTTAGAAACTACATGTACAGAAATATTTTTACATGCATAATGTACTTAAAGTTTTAAAGACAAAACTTTTGCATTGAAAAAGCAGTAAGAATCCATTTCTGTAGTAAATGCTCTTTAAAAAGCAATGTTCTGCTTTCTACTCAACAAATAAAAAGCTAAGGTTTCTGTTTCTGTTTAATTTTGACTGCATTTGGCTTGTGTTTGCTTCTTCATCAATGCTACAACAAACTCATTTAGCTAGGGACTATAAATTTGAAATGGTGCCATTTTTACAAGAAGGCTGCTATTATAATCCAAGTCACTGTTGCCCTAATTACAGTAATACAGCAGGTTTATATAATCTGGCCCAACAACCTAATCACTATTACTTCTTTTTTTGTATACTTAATATTGTCTTATGTAATATAAAACATTTTTTTTTTTAGATAAATGATGCAAATTTTAAGATATTCAGTTAAAAACTTTCTGCATTTTTTTCTAAGGTACACTTTTGCAATGCTAATGTCCCTGCGATTAAGTATGGACTGCAAGGATTTTAATCAGATTTTAATTAATGAACACTTCTAACATGATTTAGCCATAAACCATTGCTGGATGTTTTACCCTGTTAGAGTCAGGTTTCATAGCTTCTCTTTGCAACAGGCTAGCAATCAGAGACACAATTAAAAATAAAGGCATTTTTATACGGTTAGGTAAGAAAATCTGTGTTTGCTGGCAAACAAAGATTAAAAGCCTTCATAAAAGTAAGATGTGTGCTCAGCCAGAGCTCTTCTGTTGTTGTGCATGTGTTTTTATGTGCAAGTCAGATACAGATTCTGCACATTAGTCAGAAAGAAAAATGCATATGCTGCCACACAGAGTAGGAAAGCAAAGATTTTTTTGAGTGGAATGAAATAAATGCACTGAAAAGAAATCAAACTTGCATGTTTAGAGGATGTAACATACAGTCAGTGCCGAAAATTTACATGAATCCATATTCAATGAACCAACCATTTTGCTGAAAGACTGCAATGGCTGGTAGAACTGAAAAATGTGGCCATGATGCAAGTTAGTAGGACCATGTTTTCTCATTTTCCACGGTACTTCTGTTTTCTTTGCTTTTCTGACGTCCTTTTTAGTCTGCTCTCTCTCTCTCCTTTTCAGACCTTGATGGGCCAAAATCTCCGTTTCATTCAAGAGATCTGATTACAGATCTGACAGGGCATTAAGAGTATATTTGCATGAAAAAGAGCTACCATTATTTAACAACTGTTTTGTTTT